CTCAGCCCGACCAGTTGTGTTGGAAACTAACTAAAACTGGGGTGTTCACGGTAAAATCGATGTATATGGATATCATTAATTCATCTGTGATACCTACGACTAAGGAGGTCTGGAAAGTTAAGGTTCCTTTGAAGATTAAAGTGTTTATGTGGTTTGTGCATAAACAAGTTATTCTTACAAAGGACAATCTAGTTAAGCGCAACTGGACATGATCTACTAGGTGTAGTTTCTGTGATCGGGATGAGACTATCAAGCATTTATTTTTTGATTGCCCGTTGGCACAAGGGTTGTGGCGCATTGTGCAAATTGCCTTTAATATTACTCCACCGAGATCGATAAACACGTTATTTGGGGCGTGGCTGTTTGGGATTGAGTCCGAAACAGTCAGACACATTCGTGTAGGAGTATGTGCGTTATTATGGGCAATTTGGAATTGCAGGAATGATTTGGTTTTTAACAGGACAACAAATATTCATTTTTTGCAGGTGTTATTCCGGGCTATGGCGCTGATCCGTACTTGGTCCTTACTCACTCCGACGGAGGCCAGGGAGCGTTTGGTTACTGGATCTGTCCGGTGGGAGACGGTAGCGCGGGATATCTTCAACCGGTTTGGATGGCGATCATGTAATAGGATAGGAGTTTAGTTTACCTATCTGCTATTTTGCCAGCTGGGTTGTGGCTTATCTCATTTCTGCCTTGCAGTCGATGCTCTATGTGAGCTATAGGCTGCTTTGGTTCCTTTTTCTGTAAGACCTTTGTTCAGAACCTGTTTATTTGTTTAATAAGAGAGGCCATATGCATCGATCTGATGCAGAGGCCGGGGAATCCCTCTTTTCAAAAGAAAAAGAACGACGCCCGTCTGGTCTGTAGCTGGAGCCTGTTGCTGACCCCTATGTGCTTCATCAAAGCCTAGTTCATAAGAACTTTTTATTGTAAATATACCGTATTTGTCAGGACCCCATGCCAAGGTGTCATCATCCAACCTGGGCGAGGCTCTAATCTTTATTATCTCTGCTACGTCTGCCGGTACAAAGTAGTTTTGCAGTAAAGCCCGATTCCACGAGCCATTATCGTTAAGTAATTCCGAGACAAAACAAATTCTGCACCTCCCTTGAAACGTGATGGGTTTATAGGAGTAGGGACGCGGAATCCAACTATCTCGCCAAACTCGAATACTCTGTCCGTTACCCACCCGCCAGATGAGTCCTGTCTTCAAAAGATCAAGACCATAACTAATGGCATGCCAGATGACGCATTGCTGAAAAAACGGTGTCCTCAAAATTACCATCCGGGTAGTATATAGCCTTTAAAACTTGTGCACACAAACTATCCGTTTTAGAGATCAAACGCCAAACTTGTCGAGCTAGCAAAGCTGTTGGGGAACGTAGTAATTTCAAAAAAAATTCCTACGCACACGCAAGATCATGGTGATGCATAGCAACGAGAGGGAAGAGTGTTGTCCACGTACCCTCTAGACCGAAAGCGGAAACGTTAGCACAACGCGGTTGATGTAGTCATACGTCTTCACGATCCGACCGGTCAAGTACCGAACGCGCGGCACCTCCGAGTTCAGCACACGTTCAGCCCGATAACGTCCCTCGAACTCTGATCCAGCCGAGTGTTGAGGGAGAGTTTCGTCAGCACGATGGCGTGGTGACCGTGGTCACTGTGAGGAGCACCTCCTTTGTGAGGTTGCTCAGCAGGTAGCCAAGGACCTGCTGGTCGTCCCGGACCCAGATTGGGTGGAGAGGGTTGGGCGTTGAAGTCTCCTTGCCTTCCTTGGTGGTGACAAGGAGCTTTGCCGGCTCCGGTTGGGTGCCGTCGACGTAGCCGAAGACCCAGGCGCCACGCAGTTGGGGTATGATCGGGGTGCGCCATAGCACGTATTTCGTGCGGGATAGCTTCTCGGTGACTTGTCCATTGAGACTAGGCAGGGAGGAAGCGCCAGAGGAGGAAGACATGGTGCGGCTTCGACACAGGTGGTTCTGGTAGCTAGATGAGTTAAAGAAGAGGGGCTCTGATTACCATGTGCGAGCGGTAAACGTCTTACCCTTGTCAAGGGCGACATGTCCATGTTATATAGTAGGGGAGCCAAAACCCTAGATGGCTTTACACATGCGGTTTGAGAGAGAGATAAGGAAGAATCTAAGATACATCTTAAGAAAGAAGAAAGAAGGAGATGGTTATAAGAATATCTCATACAACTACCTTCTAGCCTTATCTCTAATATGTACCGAACATATATCTCGTGACACATATAATGATGTTTGGCATGCACTGGATGGATCATCAGTCAGAAAGAAAGTCTGACTCCTCAACACAACAGGCTCGTTGATCGTCACTGACAAGCACGTTTTCGTTGTTTCGCTGGCGTCTCGCGAATTTTTAATCAAACTATGATGACCAGTCGTTGATTTGCTCACTGATCGATCAGGCGCGTGCTTCACTTGTAGACTAGCCAATGAGAATCCCTTCTCTTCGTGAACGTGCAATATATTATTGGCAACAAGTCATCGAGAAACGAATCAGGAAACTATTTGAAAGAGACCGGAGCCAGGTTCAGTTCAGGGTTGGTACAATCATGCTATACGCTAAACACTAATTAGCAGATCTCTCTCTCTCTCTTCAGTGAGTACAGAACTAGAGATAAACCGGCGGATAAGTCAAGTTCGCGACCACCCAACGGCTGCGTTGCACGTTGCTGGTTGGGCTGGACCAATTAGCAAAGGCTGAAATAGGACCTATGACTGCATGGTTAGGAGGGCTATATCTCAGCCCATCAAGGCTTAAATCCTAGACTTGATACTGGCGTTTGTATTTTCTTAGACTTATTTTAGGCAATCCGATAATGTGTGTTCAGTGAAAGAAGATGTTTCCGTTGACTACGAAGGCGTCAGTAGCGACTTCGTCAATCTCAAGATGATATGCTAACTCAGTCTCATGATGGTGCTCATAAAAATAAGACATGCGTGCATAAAAATGAGTGTACTTATGTATGGATGAAAGTCTATATCTCTACTGTGTTAAAAAATAAACAAAGGTTGAAATAGCAACACACATCGCACTCGCTTGTCCAAGCCCAACGGTGGATAGCATCCTACGAGTTCCTGTCCGAGCCTCGTCGGTTGCAGCAACCACTCCTCCGGGCTTCGTCGAATCTGACCGGCAATTAGTATGAGAAAAATGCAGTGATCCTTTGTGCCTCATTGAACTCACGTCGCACTGAAACAATAGATGTCCTATTCAAAGTCGCCACAAGGCTTGATGATCCCCTAAACAAACCAAACGCCTCCTGCACCGCAAGGAGCTCATTAGGTAAAGGCTTGATAAACATAGCCATGTCATTAGCAAAAAGTGATAACATATGCCGAGCACACCATTGCACCAAAGTTCCCAATATGCTGCTTCTCTCAAATTTCAACACCATGGCATTCGTGACATCCATAATTAGAAGAAATAGAAGCGGCGATTATGGATCGCCATACCTGAACCCACGTGCATGCCAAATTCTACTGCCCTGGTATCCATTGATCAAAACTCTCATACCGGCTAAAGAAAGCATAAGCGAAATCCAAGAGCACCACCTAGCCCCAGTGGCGGACCTAGAAATAAAATGGAGGGTGTGCACATTTTAACAAAGTTGAAGTCTATTTCAATTAGCTTGCATGGGCCTTAAAAATAAGCTAATTTTTATATAGTGAAAAAATGTTTTCCAAAAATCTGGGTGTGCCATGGCACACCTGGCACCCCCCTGAGTATGCACTGCTTGGCCCCAAAGCCGCAATCAGCATCTGTGCAGCAAGAATGGCTATGTAACAACGTCGAAAGCCCTCACAACATCGAGCTTCAGGGATAGCATAGGAATCTTCCTCTGATGGAATTACTTGATAGATTTGCTAACCAACATGAAATTACCTTCGATGTCTTTGATTATTATCAGCGATGAGATGATCCAACATAGGGCCCAGAGAAAGTGCAAGGGCCTTGGAAAATATCTTAGGGATCCCATGAAGTAGACTAATGGGATGGAAATCTGCAATATTGGCCACTCCATCTTTCTTAGGGAGGAGAGAAATGTAGGCCTAATTGCGGGAATGAAAATTCCTACCATTATCACGAGCAATCTGCTGGATCGCCGCCATAAGCGCATCCTTGATAATAGATCGACAAATCTGATAAAAGCACGCCAAAAAGCCCTCTGGCCCCAGTTCCTTGTTCGAGAAATTGGGATTTTTCACTATGAAACAATAAAAAGGAAGAGGTGGATGCATTTACTTTTTGGGTTGTTGTTAAAATTTATCTTCTTTCAAAGTGTTGCATTACGTTTTTACTCTCGTTCAGAAGTGTATCGTAATGGTTTGTTGTGTATCGCCGTTTATCAACAAATCTAATCTAAAACAAGTGTATTTTATTATTGGTACATACTGAGATAGGATGATACACTGAAACAAGAAAAAGAAGCCCGAATCATTATGACACAAGATCAATTTGACAACAACCAAAAAAGTAGCCCGAATCTCAAAGCAACAACGGATGATGGATCCATATATATGGGATACCTGTGCATGGTAGAAAAAACCCACTACATTGTCTAGATTGCTACAATGCATTGAACCGACACATTTTACATTTTGACAATATATTCCCGTAACTTGAGAACATGTTATATAAATTGTTTGAAGATTGTGCACCACGCCGTGGCGACGTAAACTTGAGAGCATGTTTGACTTATAAAAGGGCAACATGACAAAATTGCAAAAAAGATAATTATATATTTTGCTCAATGAAAAGAACAAAGACCACAATAAAAAGTAATACATTTCAATTCCTCATATCGGTTCTGAAGGCTGAACTGCGAGGCTAACTTATTCAATTTTATTACAACTGCATGGAGCTTAACCAGAAGCTTGAATACATGTCTTCTGTGGAGAATTATTAAATTTCGCTAGCATGCATATATGGAATTATGTATTGATCATTTCAGGGCTGGCTCCCAGGAATTAAGACCCGCTAGCGAACTTGGACTTGAGAAGTTCGACGACCCCGGCCTCCACCCGAAGCGCCTTGGTGAGCACCGGCGTGGGGATTGGTGGGTTGGAGCCAAAGAGCGTGAGTGGCACGAAGACAATGCCCGGGTTCTGGCTGTTGAAGGATACGACCATGGAGGCCTCCGTCTTGCCGACGTTGAACTGGAAGTGCATGAGCCCGCGTGGGATGAGGAACGTCTCTCCAGCGCGCACCACCCTGGGGTAGAGCTTGTTCCCGGAGTCGAGACTGCCAAGGATACCAACGAGGAGCTCACCTTTCATCACGATGCCGATCTCGGTGGCGCGCGGGTGGACGTGCGGCGGGTTGGTGCCTCCCGGCGCAAAGTCCACACGGTTCATGGACACGCCCAGCGTGTTCGTACCGGGCCACTCAGCCACGTCGAGCTCCGTCACAGCGGAGCCGTTCGGGGTGGACGTGTTGCCGGCCTTGGCCAGCTTGGAAGAGAAGAGGAAGTCGTCGCCGGCCTCCGACATGGGCTTGCATGGGTGGCCGTTCACTGAGACCGTCTTGCCGTCAAGGTCGGCCACACAAAAGTCCTGGAGAGGGTCAGGGTCGGTGGCCAGGACAGCCGGAGCAAGGAGGAGCATGGTGAACATGCCAGCTATGAGTTTGGAGCACCCCATTGCTTGCTAGGGAACAAGCTTAGGTAGGACTGATCAGCTAGAGTCTGTTGATCGAGAGTGTCCAAGGCACTGGTGGTTCCAACTATGCTGTGGTGGATGAGTTAGCAATGAGGCATATGGAGTCCTTTATATAGGGCCTGGATGCATGTGCATGTGTATGCATGGTGCTCGCTATGCATGTCTTCACCGCCTGCATGTGCCGCATGTGGGAACACGGGAAGCAGAGTTATTTTGCTGAGGTTATTGATATTATTGGCGTCGAGATCTCAACTTGTGATGAAAATGGAGATGGCCCAAGGTCAGAAGTCAAGGCCATACCGGCTGCTAAGGAAAATGGGACCTACGAACAGAGCAACGAGGAGGTGTATTTGAATGGAGCATTGCGCTTGGAAACAGTTGTTCACAAGATTCGTGTACACCTCTACTCATCAATCATCTTGATTTCGTCTAAATTTCGAAATTCAGGCAAAAATGGCAACGTAGAAGGATAAGCACAACTATTAGTAACCACCAGTTCACCACAAGTACTCGTGAAAGAATATCATATTATTACTCATACAAAAATGTCACATCAGTACCCACAACTATTCATACTCCCTTCGTTTCAAAATATCGAAGATAATTTATTTTTAAGAAAGATTAAGAAGTTTGACTTTTAGAAAAAACAATACACATCATTATATTTTGTTAAGTTTTCAAAAGATTAATACACCTTTTAGAAAAGGGCACTGCTACGCGTCGGCAGGCGGATCTTTTTAAAAGATCCGCCACCTCACGAGACGTCAGATATGGTGGATTGAGCGGCGAGCATCACCCTCTACCACTGCAACAAAGGTTGTGTTGCAGTAATTTTTGCAACACGAGTCAGGTTGTAGAAATTTCTTGAAAACATATGTCAGGTTGCAAATTTATTTTTGCCATAAAGATCTTGTTACAGTTATTTTGTAACAGAGGTCGTGCTACAATTTTTTTTGCAATAGATATCTTGTTATATATTTTTTGCAATAGGGGCCTTGTTGCAATTTAATTGCTTTTGTAACAGAGGTCTTGTTGCATTTTTTTCTTTGCAACAGAGGCGTTATTGCAGAAAGCAGAGATCATGGGGACGGTTCACCACGTCATGTGGGACGCGTGGCGTTCAATGAAGGCGGCAGACACAAGCTTGTAAATCCGCCGGCTGACCGATAGTGTTTTCCTTTAGAAAATAACAAAATATTTTTTTCAAAGATTAAGAAGTTTGAGTTTTCAAAAGCCCAATATACTTGTACTTTGGAAACGGAGGGAGTCACGCAAAAATATCAGTTCGAGCAATCTTTGTGCAGATATTATAAATATTGGTTAGTGTTTTATGAGGATTAAAAGAGGTGGGCAATATGTTCTGAAAATGCCAAGGTGGGAAGGATAAGTGAGCATGTAAGCGTGCAACAATTCTAGTCTACTTACGACTAGAATCGTGGAGCTTCAAGAATGGCGAAGTCAGCAAGGACTTCGCTATCGACGCAGTCACTGGTGGAATAGAAATACAACCACATGTCGGTTCCAAGGTGTAAGAAGATTTTGAGATAGCTTGACGGACCAGGGCGCGAGTCAGTTCTGTTTTAAGAATGAGAACTAAATCGGGGGTGGCCATTGGCAGTGACGGAGACAGGCCTGGGGCAGTTAGGGTTATAGCCCTAAGCCTAGTAACAATTTCCCTTGGGATTTTCTTCATACAAAATTTAGAAAAAACAGAGAAGTTTATCATTCAACGTAGCACAGTTCCAGACGTAACGTCCTTCTAGCTTCGCCACTAGCCATTGGTGTTTGAAAAAATAGCAATGTGTAGCCTAAAATTTGTAAACAGGAAACCGTGTTCTAAATTTTGGATGTGTAAAAGCCATGGGCAATGGAGGTGTAAAGTTTAGTTTTTAGCGATTTTGCGAGTAAAATGCAGTCTAGCCTACATGACATATACTCCCTCGATCATGGTTTGTAAGGCATCGTACTATTTTGGATTGAACTTTGGCTAATAAAACAAAGTATTCCATACGTCCCAGTCCCACCATAATATAAGAGCGTTTTAGTGTAAAAAAACATTCTTATATTATAGGACGAAGGGAGCGTTTTAGTGTAAAAAAACACTCTTATATTATAGGACGAAGGGGGTACAAATCAATTGTGTAAGAGTATAAAGAAAATATTTGTTTTGAACACAAATTTAACACTCTCTTTGATTCGAATTAATTGACACAGTCTCTATACAATGTCCACATATGCTAATAAAATATGAGGGTGCCTTGCAACACTCGGTAGAAATGCTGTTCCTTTCGAGTTGACACGATCGAGACATGGAGAGAAGCGGAAGGCCTCGATCGGTGATGCATGATTGATGGGTCGGTGACATGCTGGGACGTGAACTGGGGGAGGGGCCAGCCGGCCGGCTACTCAGGAGACTTGGAGAAAGGGAGAGGCGGGCCGGTACGCTGGCTGGATCGCGGTCAGAAGAGAAACTCTGACTCTTGGACACAACAGGTTCATTGATAGTCACTCTGACAAGCATGTTTTCGCTGTTTGGCTGGCGTCTGGCGAATATTTAAGCTGTGTGGAGATATCGATATGCATGCCATTGATTTGCTCACGTAGCCAATGAGAATCCGTTCTCTGCTCGAACGTGCTATTATTGGCAAGTCGTCGATCGATCGCAGCCACAAAGAAGAGAAACAAAACAAGAAACTATTTGAGGCCGGAGAAGCTTCCCACCTCTGACCATCATGCTACACGCTAGCTAAACGTTAGCATGGAGACGTCCCTTCAGCGAGTACACAACCGCAGATAAACCGGCGACCACCCAACGGCTGCCTTGACGATCCAATAGCTTGCAGCGCGGTTGAAATTAATGGCAACACACGTTGCAGTCGTCCAAGCCCAACAACAGAGAAAAATGGGTGGATACAGCCTATCGAGAAATGCAAAATTAACCTACGTGTATGTACTTGCAGAATGAAATGCTCGCACCATGGTCGCTTGTTCGCTGAGAAGTACTCTCTTCGTAAACTAATATAAGAGCATTTAGATCACTAAGTAGTGATTTAAACACTTTTATATTAATTTACGGATGGAGTACTAACGTTGTGCTAAACCAGCGAACAGGTAGTATGGATCAGAGGGACCGAAGGAGTACCAAAAGGCCTTCAACAGCATAATGGTGGATTGATCATCACATTAACGGAGCAAAGGACTTGGTGGTTGAAGACACTAGCATTTCACCATCAGCACGCCGGACCCTGAACTTCATAAGCCTAGACGAAATCCATATGATTGACAAGTAGAGATGTGCACAAACATTATGAAACCCGCCGTTTCCAAGCGCAACACTCCATCGAGAAAGACCTCCTGGTTGTCTCTGTTCGTTGGTCCCATTTCCTTAGCAGCCGGCAGTGGCCTTGACTCTGACCTTGCCCCGTCTCCATTTTCATCACAAGCTACCTCATCCCGACTCTGACCCTGAGCATCTCCATTTTCATCACAAGGTGAGATAACACTACTATATGTTTAATAAACTCTTGCCTCATGTGTCCATTTGCACATGCATGCGGTGACGACATGCATAGCTTAATAATTAGCTCCATGCATTCGTTGCGTGAATCGATCCCCTATATAAAGGGCTCCATATGCCTCACTACTCACTCATCCACCACAGCTTAGCAGCAACCACCAGTGCCTTACACACTCTCGATCAACAAACTCTAGCTGATCAGTTGCATAGCAAGCAATGGGGTGCTCTAAAACCCTAGTAGCTGGCCTGTTCGCCATGCTGTTCCTAGCTCCGGCCGTCCTGGCCACCGACCCTGATCCTCTCCAGGATTTCTGTGTCGCTGACCTCGACGGCAAGGCGGTCTCGGTGAATGGGCACACGTGCAAGCCCATGTCGGAGGCCGGCGACGACTTCCTCTTCTCGTCCAAGTTGGCCAAGGCCGGCAACACGTCCACCCCAAACGGCTCGGCTGTGACGGAGCTCGATATGTGGCCGAGTGGCCCGGTACGAACACGCTGGGCGTGTCCATGAACCGGGTGGACTTCGCGCCGGGGGTACAAACCCGCCGCACATCCACCCCCGCGCCACCGAGATCGGCATCGTGATGAAAGGTGAGCTCCTCGTTGGAATCTTCGGCAGCCTTGACTCCGGGAACAAGCTCTACTCGAGGGTGGTGAGCGCCGGAGAGACGTTCCTCATCCCGCGGGGCCTCATGCACTTCCAGTTCAACGTCGGTAAGACCGAGGCCTCCATGGTCGTCTCCTTCAACAGCCAGAACCCCGGCATCGTCTTCGTGCCACTCACGCTCTTCGGCTCCAACCCGCCCATCCCGACGCCGGTGCTCACCAAGGCGCTCCGGGTAGAGGCCGGGGTCGTGGAACTTCTCAAGTCCAAGTTTGCCGCTGGGTTTTAATTCCTGGGAGACTGCCCATAAATGATCATAAATCATTCGGTATATGCATGCTAGCGACATTTAATAATTCTCAGCAGAAGATATCTATTCATGCTTCTGGTTAAGCATGCATGCAGTTGTAATAAGATTGAATAAGTTAGCCTCGTGGTTCAGTCATCAGAGCCAATATGAGGAATTGAAATGTACTACTTTTTATTGTCTTCATTGTTCTTTTCATTGTACGGAATATATAATTATCATTTTTTGTAGTATATTTGTCCGATTACCCTTTTATAATTAAGTTAGACATGCTCTCAAGTCGACATCAACAAAAGGAAAGGTATCGCTACAGAGTCACGTCAACTTCGGATATAGAAAAGGCTAAGGAAGAAGCCTTAAAGTATTTGCCAAGGCTACTACGGCGTGGTGCGCAATGTCCAAATCATTCAGAAAACATGTTCTCAAGTTACAAGCAGAACGCAAAATGTACCAATCAATGCATTATAGCAATCTCCAAAATATACAAAAGGAACACGAGAATGATTTTTCTACCATGCATGGGATATCCCATACGTGGACCCACTGTCGGTTGGTTGCTTTGACATTCGTGCTATTTTTTGGTTAACGTCAAAATTTATCTTGTGTCCTATTTTTTTTTGTTTCAATGTGCATACCATCTTATTTGAGTATGCACCAAAAATAAAATGCACTTGTTTTATATCACATTTGTTGATAAATGATGGTACACAACAAACCACTAGGATGCATTTTTAAACGAGAGGAAAAAAACCTAATGTGACACATTGGATTTTTTTATATTTTAAATTTTTAACAACAACCCAAAAAATTGGCACGAAACTCAAAGCAATCACTGATGGTGGATTCATACATGGTAGAATACCATTTCTCCAAAAAAAACATGCTCTCAAGTTATTGGAATGCATTGTAAATGTATTGGTTCAAGCTTTGTGCACATATGTAAATGCATCCACATCTTCTTTTTATTGTTCCATATTGCAATATCCCAATTTCCCGGACAAGGCACCGGGGTAGAGGGCTTTTTTCCATGCTTTTACAAGATTTGATAGCTTATTATCAAGGACGCGGTTATGGTGGCAATGCAACAGATTGCTCGTGGTAATGGTAGGAATTTTCATTCTCTCAATAAGACCTTGATTGCTCTCCTTACTATTGTGGACTTTGGGCCCGTTAGTCTACTCCATGGGATCCCAAGATCTTTTCCAAGGCCCTTGCGCTTCGTTTGGGCACTATTTTGGCTCATCTCATCACCAACAAACAAAGCAATTTTATTCGGAGACTGACAATTCAAGATGATTTCATGTTGGTTAGCAAATCTATCAAGTTATTCCATCAAAGTAAGATTCCTATGGTATTACTGAAGCAACGTCACGAGGGCTTTCAACAATGTTTCATGGCGATTATTGCTGAATGTGATTCAAATTCGTGGCTTTGGGGCGAGGTGATGCTCTTGGATTTTGTTTATGCTTTCTTCTGTTAGCACGGGAGTTTTGATCAATGGACACCTGAGCAGCATAGTTTGGCATGTGCGTGGGCTCAGCCGGGGTCATCCACTGTCGCCTCTCCTTTTTTTATATAATTATGGATGTAATGAATTCCATGGTGTTGAAATCTGAGAGCAATGAGATATTGGTAGGTTTGGAACAATAGGGTGTTCGGCATTGATTTTCTCTTTTCACTGATGATGCGGCTAGGTTTATCAAGTCTTTGCCAAATGTGCTCACTACGGTGAAGGAGATTCTTGGTTTTCTTTGGGAAGCTTTTGTCCTTGTGGAAAATTTGAATAAGACATCCAGTGCTCCAATCCGATGTGAGTTCGCTGAGGTGCAAAGGCTCACTGCTTTTTTTCCTTGTGAAGTGGCACCATTCCTCTCAGTAACTACCTCAACCTCCCTCTCTCATTAGTGGCCCTTACAAAGGCAGGCATGCAAACACTAGTCGATGAAGTGACTCGCGGTTTAGCTACCTGGCATACCTCCATGCTGACCCATAGTGGGATGATTGTGTTGTTCAAGTCGGTGTTCAAGACTGTGTCATTATCGTCTGACCAGACACATGTGGTGGAGATCACGTGAATACGGGAATACAAATACGAGTAAATAAAACAAAAACCGTTACGAGTATAAATGGTATAGTGATAAAGGAGTTGTTCACAGGGATACCAATAATATCTCACGTAGGGTTTGCTAACAGCTCGGGAAGTCGAGTGAATAGTATCCGGGGCAAAAGGTTCGCTCAAGAACTTTGTGAAAATGTGGGAGTTAACAAGGGTGTCCAAATTCTGTTGTTAACTATTGATTAGAAGGTGTTCCGGGTCATGCCCGCTTATTTCCGAAGTAATTATTATGGAAACTAAAAGTTGAGAGAATGAGCATTAAAAGTGTTTCGGATGGTCCTAAAAGTGTTTTGGGAATTCCAAAAAGATATAATATGTCAAAAAATGGGTCTATATATATGGCAGGATTCAGGAAGACAAAGGTTCTAGAAACTTCCAAAAAATCCAGAATATATTTTGGAAGAAATACCCTCTTGGGTTGGCCCCGACGCAGCCCCTAGTGGGCCAAAAAGCCACGATCTAATCCCGGTCTAATTGGTCTAATAGTTTAGACTTCTAATTAGACGGGCTCTAATGCCGGTCTAATTAAATTAAAATCCTAATTAAATGTGAATGCAACTAGGCTTCCCCTCTTGCTCTCTAGTTTTCTCGGAGCTCTTCTTTGGGGACGTTGAAGTGCTGCCGGATCGCTACTTCGGAACTCGTGGATACTTCAGAGTGCACATCTACTTCGACTCTTGATTGGTAGATCATCTTGGAGAAATTCTCATAGTTGGGAGGTATAACCAGTTGCTGAAATTGTCATGCTTCACTCACAGTCAGGATTAGCCTATGTCCCAAGGCAACCCTTGTAGCTACATGCCGAGGCATGACTACTTGGGGTTTCGCGCCCTACATTTTTGCATGTTCATGTGACACCAGGGGCGGAGCCGGGGGGACGAGCAGGGGCCTGGCCCCCCCAACAATCAACAATTTTAGTAGGAGCAATGAGTAATTACCAACGAGATTCGATCAATATACGTACTCGGCCCCCCCTATACTCCAATCCTGGCTCCGCCACTGTGTGACACGTGTACATGTTGAGAGAAATAGATTACTAAATATCACCCATTTCCTTATTCTAGATGAGTATCCTACAATATGTAGACCGAACAATGTATTCTAAATTGTGGTAGTAGAGAAACATCTATTAAAAAGAACTCTACGTATACTCCCCCTCCCAATCCCAATCCAGGTTTGTAAGACAGTTTCGTGTTTTTTTTGCCGAATTTTAACAGCAAAAATAAGTTATATGTAATAAATATTGTACATTGGGAGGTTGGAGACAGGGAGAGGCGGGCTGGTGCGCTGGATGGATCACAGTCAGAAAGTCTGACTTGCAACGCCACAGGCCCGTTGATTGCCACTGACAACATGTTTTCGTTGTTTCGCTGGCGCCATATTTTCCGCGATCGAATATTTAAACTGCAAGGAGACAGGCAAGCAGGGCGCCATATCTACACTTGATTACTCACTGATCGATCAGCAGTAGCCAATGAGAATCCCGTCTCTGCCCCAACGTGCTATTATTGGCAACAAGTCATCGATTGAGAAGAGAAACAAAACAAGAAGAGAAGCCAGGTTCGGGGTTGGTACGCCGCGGCGAGAAGCCTCCGGTCCCATTTCTGACGATCATGCCATACGCTAAACGTTAGCAGATAAACTGGCGGCGAGACCAGTTAGCAAGGTTGAAATGCCAACACGCGTCGCGCTCGCCAAGCCCAACGATGGACAAAACGGCCACGGCTGGCGGGTGGTCGGAGACGGACAGCCGAGAAATGCAAAAAAGGAAAGAAAAAAAAGGAAGCATAATTAACCTAGAAGAAATCCTTGCACCGCGGTCTCTCACTTTATTTGCTGAGAAATAATGCCAAGGCCTTCAACATAGCACATTATGATCTTCAATTGTGCTTATTAGTTAGCTTTTTCATTTTGCATGCAGCTCCTGGACACTGGCATTTCTCTCTTTTGCTGTTAAATGAAGACCCTGGCCTTTCACCATCAGCACGCCCCTGATCTTGATAAGCCTAGACCAGTGGCGGAGGACGAAAAAAATTTGAGGTGGGGCGGACACTAAGGCGTAAATTAAATTATAATATGCCGCCATTCATAATATGAAAATACCACTAAGATCACTGAATTGTACATTTTCACACTATTTTACCACACAGATCACAAATTTAGAAATCTATTTTTTCCATAAATTTGCACCTTTACTCTTACCTTTGTTGTACCCTTTCTTTTCTTACCCATCTGCTAGATTTCTACGTTTCCCATTCACTGAAAAAAACGCCGACAACAGCCGCACAAATTACAGTAATAAGCACATCTCTCTCGCACACATAAAAAAATAGCTAATCAGTAGAAATCCCAATCCCAGCCTAAGCCTCTCTCATCACTCGATCTTTCACAATTTGTCCCATCCCAATCTCTCTCTCAGTCGCTGACCACAATAGCAGCACACAGCCGCCCGCTTCTCACCAAGGCGTGCATAGAGAGCAATCGGGGCGGTGAAGAAAAATCAAGCCAGCGGATGAGAGGGAATCGGGAAACTGCTGTCCTTTTTAAGGGTAAAAGAATGCACCGGTCTTTTTTTTTTGAGGGAAAAGAATGCACCAGTCGGATGGGAAACTGCTGTTGGGGGAGCAATCAGGGCGCTGCTGGCCCTAGTCGCACTGAGGGCCCAAATAATGCGGCCTGCGTTCGCTCTATGGCCCATTCCCTTTTCTCCTTTTTTTTACCTAGCGAGGCAACCAGGAGCCAGCCAGCCAGCGATCCAGCGATGCGTATACCTGTACAAATTGCATCGTACAAAATCAAGGTAGGGCGGGCGTCCAACCTCACCCTACCGGGTCCTCCGCCTGTGGCCTAGACGAAACCCATATGCATGATTGACGACTAATGGTGTGCACGAATATTATGAACGCGCCGTTTTCAAGCGCAATACTCCATTCAGATACACCTCCTCCTTGTGTCTGTTCGTTGGTCCCATTTTCATAGCAGCCAGCAGTGGCCTTGACTCTGACCTTTTGACCCCATCTCCATTTTCATCACAAGCTAGCTGATGCCACGCAAGTAATATATCTTTAATGAACTCTCTGCCTTGCCTTGTGCATGCAGTGACGACATGCACATGCATAGCTTAATTAGCTCCATGCATCCATTGCGTGCATCAATCCCCAATATAAAGGACTCCATATGCCTCACCATTCACTCATCCACCACAGCTTAGCAGCAGCAACAACTAGTGCCTTAGACACTCTCCATCAACAAACTCTAGCTGATCAATCCTAGCTAAGCTTATTGCATAGCAATCAATGGGGTGCTCCAAAACCCTAGCAGCTGGCCTGCTCGCCATGCTTTTCCTAGCTCCGGCCGTCCTGGCTACCGACCCTGACCTTCTCCAGGACTTCTGCGTCGCTGACCTCGACGGCAAGGCCGTCTCGGTGAACGGGCACACGTGTAAGCCCATGTCGGAGGCCAGCGACGACTTCCTCTTCTCATCCAAGCTGGCCAAGGCCGGCAACACATCCACCCCGAACGGCTCGACCGTGACGGAGCTCGACGTGGCCGAGTGGCCCGGTACCAACACACTCGGTGTGTCCATGAACCGCGTGGATTTTGCACCTGGAGGCACCAACCCGCCACACATCCACCCGCGTGCCACCGAGATCGGCATCGTGATGAAAGGTGAGCTCCTCGTGGGAATCCTTGGCAGCCTCGACTCCGGGAACAAGCTCTACTCGAGGGTGGTGCGCGCCGGAGAGACGTTCCTCATCCCACGGGGCCTCATGCACTTCCAGTTCAACGTCGGTAAGACCGGGGCCTCCATGGTCGTCTCCTTCAACAGCCAGAACCCCGGCATCGTCTTCGTGCCCCTCACGCTCTTCGGCTCCAACCCGCCCATCCCGACGCCGGTGCTCACCAAGGCGCTCCGGGTAGAGGCCGGGGTCGTGGAACTTCTCAAGTCCAAGTTTGCCGCTGGGTTTTAATTCCTGGGAGACTGCCCATAAATTAAAACCCAGCGTCGAACTTGGACTTGAAGTTATAGATATTGAAGTTATAAATATTGAAGTTATAAACCCAGTTTAAATATACTTGTAGTTCCAGTTTGAATTATATCCCTTCAATATTTATAACTTCATTTTAATGCCTAAAAATAGCAAACCAATCCAGAGCGAGGCTTAATTTTGATATGGACTTTTAAAATTTGTATTTTCATTTTTACAAAAAAATCAGGAGCCTTCTATTTTCTATACATATGTACTTTGTATATGGTGCCTTAACTCCCTATTTCAAAAAAAACAAACTCGGAGTATTACATAACAAGATCCAAAATGAACGCATATAAGTATATAATAGTGAGAATGGCGTTTTGGAGGCCGAGCTCCATGGAGCCCTTTATTTAAAAAAACAAATTCAAAATTTTATGTTTCAAAAAATTCTGAAAAAAATATGCGTATATGTAAGGATGTAACCCACATGCGTGTAAAAGTTCATGATGAAATACCTTGAATTGCGACCTGTACAAAAAAGACAAATTCATGGCCTGAGAGAATGAATAGTATCATGTGTTAAACAGCCTTAGATTTGTCTTTTTTGCACAGCCCTCATTTCAACGTATTTTGCCCTGAAAATTTACACACATGTGTGTTATGCCTTCATGTATATCTGTGTTTTTTTCAGAATTTTTTGAAACATAAAAATATGAATTTTGATGAAATTTTAATTTTGAATTTGGAGGCCTCATTGGAGCTCGGTCACCAAAAGGATTTCCGTATAGTATAATATCAAGTTGGAATACAAATTTAAGTTGAAATGATGAAGCCATAGTGAGTTTGACTTCAAACCTCATAATTCCACTTTGAAACATATGATGCTTACCCGGAGATGCTTCGGTTGCTCGACAATGTACAACCCAAGTTTTGTGAAATTGATTCCAATTTTAAACACAACCCCTTGAGGTCATATCATGGTGCCATGCCAAATTACATTTTTTGTATTTCATTCACCTTTCTAGAATTAAATAAAACAAATAAGTGCAACTAAGAGTTAGAATTTTACCAACTAAAACTTTTGAATTTTCCATACATCTCTTGGATTACACCTACGGTACTTAAGAATTTGAATATTACCTTTCTTCCAAATTGTAGGCATTGTTTTAATACACTTGTAGTTCAAATTTTAATTATATATCAACCATAAAAATCACTTAATGCCTAAAAATTAGCAAACTAATGCAAAAAATGCATAATTTTGACATGAACTTCGAGATGTTGGAAGTTAAATATAGGAAAGTTTTGGAGCCTTCTGTGTCAATTTTTCAAAAAAGAAGGACCTTAAGCCTAGCTCAAACACTAAAATCTAAGAAGTTCTACGAGTGAGCGGTATGTGGTGCTTGTCTTTTTTTTGAGAAGTATGTGGTGCTTGTCACTGGTAAGGATTTACCAATGACGAGTTACGCTTGTTATATACTGCCTGCACGGGACTTGATTTTTTTTCCCAAATCACTTGTCCTAACCCCCAATCGAGCATGCTGACTCTGGTGCCGCCTACCGCCTACCGCCACCAGCACCGCACACCATATCTGCCTCCGCGTGCCCCCCGCACATGGCATGGTCTCCATGCTCACTACTGAATCATGTGTCCCTCTCCCTCCTTGGTCTCCACCCCCGTTGTCACTGCTCACCTCCGACGTCGGTTGATGCCTCGTCCCCAAGTCCAACCCGCCTTTGCCTCCTCGACCTCTTCTACTCCACCTTTGCCTCCTACTTCTCATGTCGGATGACACCACACTTCTCTGCCTCGTCAACGGACGCTCTCAGTGAGCGTTCCTCATCTACTTCTCATGCTTGCCGTGCTTAGGAGGTTCATGCATAGGTGCTTGTGTTGTGACATCGTCGTGGATGAATGAGTAACATATCTGATATATTTATGTGTTTTTATGAATAACACCAGAATTGAGATGAATAATTGTGCGGCATCATGGATTAATATGCTTGTGGTATCGATATGTTTTAAATGAACCCATAAGATTATTAGCTTTCATGATTTAATATAACTAAATAAGTAAGTATGTGTAGTTTTATGATTTATTTGGACTAAAAAATTGATGAAGTGCCAAGTGTTAGTTGTTGTTTTGTGTTTTTGGCTTCAGGAAAAACAAAAGTTTAAAATAGCGAGCTATGCCAAAGGCATCAAACTCAAAATAAGTTAAATAGCGCTAGAACGCCGCTAAATGGCACTATATCCAACTAAAACAACTTAATTATACATAGGTGACATTTAGCGGGGCCTTGCAAAAAACACTACAAAGTTGCTATAGCTTACTATTTGAAAATTTAGGAAAAAACGGGTATTTTCCCTTCAAGTGAAAAATCCTCAAATAATGCAAGAGAAGTTTGTACATAAAAAGATAGCTGAAGCTAGAAGAGAAAACCTAGTGGGGTTCACAGCTCTTAGGCGGCGCTGTGGGGCATCAGGTCTCCTCTCCGGTGCTCTCGAACTCGTCCTAATAGTATACCTTTTGCGAGATACTATAACTTAACTTTTGCAAATAAATTCGTAGTCAAACTTTGATTCAAAATAAGAGGGTGTCTTGCATTGCAAGTTTGCAATGTTGTAATTTGGAGGGGAGAACATGGAGTGGTGGTGTAATTGCTATTTTTTATGTGTGATGGAGGTGCGAGCAACCGAGAGATTTCTATGGTTATCGAATTGAGTATTTTTTAACACAGTGCAGACAAATATGCTCATACATACATAGGCATGCAGATGCTATCCCTATGAGCATCTCCAAGAGACCGAGTCCACACATCATCTTATGATTGACGAAGTCGACATAGACGTTTTCTTAATCTATGGAAATGTCCCCTCCAACTGAACGCACATCACCTAAATCCAGAAAAATGGGACCACCAATGTCAAGTTTAAGACATAAACCTTGGTGGGCCGGCAACACCATTATTTTCCTAACCATCCAACCATAGATTGAAATTCATTATTGAGCGAAGGATATGGAACAGAGCTTACATAATATGATGCGGTAGCTTAGGGTTCATAACACATGTGACCCGCTGGTGAGATAATTAGATAGGATTTGAATGTACCTATTGACACAAAATTATACACATGCCCTACTCATGATTAATCGGATAGGATTTGGATATTTCCCATAGCATGAAAATGTGCCCATACCCAATCGATGTGGGTCAGGTTTAAATATATCCATGTCTATGGATAAAATAGACATCCTTATCTGGAAATGTGGCTGCAGTAAAAGGCGGCGCAGCTCGCAGCAACAATCGATAGAAATGTTCTTCCTTCTGAGCTGAGTTGACATGGGGAAAGTGAGAAGCGAAATGCCTCGACCGATGACGATCGTTGATTCGGTGACAAGTGGCCATGCAGGTGCGCGCGGGGGACGGGAACCGGGGGTTAGAGCATCTCCAGCCACGCCCCCAACAGCCCCCCCCCGGGCGACTTTTTCGGCCTCGGCGCCGAAAAAACGCCCCAGTCCCGCCCACAGGACGCCGAAATCCGCCAGCTCGGCCCGTTTTTGGGCCTGGCGATCGCAGGCAGAACCCGGCACACTGGGAAAGGGGGCGCTCGGGGGCTCCGGCGCAAGGGAAAAGCATGTCTGGCCCACACCGTCAGGCGAAAAGTCAAGTCTTTCTTCCAGATTCGCCTCCCACCCCCGCGCGCTCGGCCGCCAACCGGCTGATCCCGGCGCCGCCCACCGCACGCCACCGCTAGATAGCACGTCCCCGCCGGAAAAAGAGCAGAGGTTTTGCCGAGGCAGCCCCTCCACCACCAGTTGGGCGATTTTTCCGGCATTTCCGATCACGGAGGGGCAGTGTTGCTGCGGGTACGCGCCCACCGCGCCTGCAAGGTGTTCGGCGATTTGCCTGCCTCGACAATGGACTCGGACCACGAGGAAGTGTTCGCCGCGCTGCTGGAGGAGGAAGCCGAGGCCGACGTCCAGGAAGAGGAACATCTCATGGTCCTCGCCGCCCTCGCCGGCCTGCTGGCGAGCAATGAAAAGCCGCGACGAGGTGGGCGGATGAAAGAAAAGAATCGGCATCGTCTCGAAGGCTACTGCATGGCGACAAACATTTCGGCGCCGTCATCGGATGAGCCGAAAGCTTTTCCTCAGGATTGTGAATTTCATCTGGGAGTTCGACAGCTACTTCAGGTGCAAGAAGGATTGCATCGACAAACTTGGATTCACCTCAATCCAGAAGTGCACGACAACGATGAGGGTGCTTGCATACGGAGCTCCCGGTGATTCACTCGACGATTATGGGTGCATGGCTGAGTCTACCACCATTGAGTGTTTCTACAAGTTCTGTCGGGCAGTGGTGGCAGTGTTTGGACCGCAATACTTGCGAACACCCAATCCTGAAGACACTGCTCGGATCCTAGCACAGAATGCAGCAAGAGAATTTCCTGGGATGCTTGGAAGCATCGACTGCATGCATTGGAAATGGAAAAACTGCTCATGCTTGGCAGGGGATGTACAAAGGCGCCAAAGGCTGTTGCAGTGCGGTACTTGAGGCGGTGGCCACACATGACCTCTGGATTTGGCACTCCTTCTTTGGTATGTCAGGAACT